CAAAGACGGGGAAAACGCCCGCACCCCACGCGGACCCCCTGCTGGCACCGGAGGCCCCCAGCAGAGGGGGCCGTGGGCCCTCCAGAGCGCCTGCTGCCGCCCTTAAGACTCTTCCTCCTCCAGAGCACATTCAAGCGCCCAGCTTGACTTACCTTCTCCGCGGGTCCCTGTGAGAGGAAGGGTGGAGGAGGACTGGCCTCATATACCCTTTCTGGATGAAGAGAGTGGGTGGGGAAAGGAAACCTCTCACCCAGGAGGAGGGGGCAGGCAGGGCAGGAAGAAGCTGCGGTGGGTCATCCCCCACCCCCAGGACTGCCCTTTTGCAGAGGTGGTGCTGGGGATGCCTGGCGGAGACCCTCCCTACGGCCTCCGCAGACCCCCCCACCCGGCTGACAATTGGGCCTGGGGCTGATGCCCAAAGGGGGCTTCCGATGGCAGAAGCACCGGGTATTGGCAGGAATAAAACGGGTGTCCTTCCCCGTCTGTCACGTTTCCAGCAACCGGCACCCTGGGGAATGGAACTTCTTGTTCAGGACCCGTCGCGGCCACAGTAAAAGTCAGGTGGTGGACTGACTGAGGTTGGGGGAAGGTCCGCATGGGAGGGGCTGCTGGGCATCCTCATGAACCCCTGGTGGGCTCGGAATGGATTCTGGGCCAGGTTCTCGGGGTTATTCGATCCCAGAGCTTCACTAGAACCGTAGAATGGAAGGGCTGGAGATGACCTTCGATCATCTAGTCCAGCCTCCTGCCAGGTGAGAAATTCTTGACTGCGGTTCAGCATTCCCAGCGGATGGCTGTCCAGCTGTGGCTTAAGTACCTCCAATGAAGAAGAATCCTCTGTCTCCCAAGGCAGTCTTTTCCGTAGTCGAAGGACCTGACTCTTAGGAGAGTTTTGCCAATATCCAGCCTGGACAAGTCTGTTCCTTGTCATTTAGCCCCATTCTTTCTTGTCCTGCTGTCTGGAACGTCTCTGAACAATTCTGGCCCGCCTTTTGCCTAACACCCTTCAGACATTTGAAGATGGCTACCACGTCCCCAGCAGATGACCCTTCTCCAGGCTAAGCGCGCCTGCTGCCTCCAGCGATTCCTTGTGGGTTGTTCTTTCCAGGCTCCCGATCCACGTGGCTCCTCTTCTTTGGATCCACTCCAGTCTGTCCATGTCCTTCCTAAATGCAATGCCCAGAATCCGGACACAGTATTCTAGGCGCGGTCTGACCAATGCAGACTAGAAAGGAGCTGTGATCTCTGATCAGCTTGATACTGGACCTCTGCTGGTGCAGCTGGGGTTGCATCGGCTTGGCTTTGCAGCTGCATCACACTGTTGGCTCATGCTCAGCTTGTGGTCCAGCAAGACACCCCGATCCTTTTGTGACATTTGCTGACGCCAGCATCATCCCCAAAGCTCTCCTGTGAATCTGGGTCCACAATCAAGGGCGTAGGCATCCAGCCAAGTTCATGCCTTCGGGCATTGGTCCCTATGGAGAAACCGAACCAAATGTGCCACAAGCGGGCTCTCCTTTGACCCTTTTGAGCACAAGGAGCCATCCTAGCCGAATCCTTTGACTTAGCTCACACGAGATATTAACGGGATGCCACAGGTCCCAACTGGCCCAAATACACCAGATTTCTCCCTTCCTATGGTAGATGTGTATAATCTGGTCTTACTTATGAGCTTTGATCTCAATTCTACAGGGAGAAGCTCATGGCTCAGGGCTGTGGGTCAGACCCTCACGGCTGATCACGCTGCACCAGCCACTGACCTCCAGCCAGCAAAATGAGTGTATGTCAAGGTCCACTAACGTTAGAGCTACTTTGCCTCCCGGGGAAGGGCCCCCACCAAGGCCTTCTCGCCCCGGACACTGCAGCCAAGGCCCAGACGTCCCAGGTGGCTCCTCCAGAGGCCAAGAGAAACGGGGAAGATGGTCACTCCATGGGCAGAGGCCGCTGACCCAGTCACCCAGCCGCCTTGAAATTGGGACCGAATGAAAGAGAGAAACAGAAGCTGTGGGAACAGTGCAGGGGTGAATTCACCCCAGGAAGCAGATGGAAAAGGGTGAAATTCAGCTATGAAATTCTGACGAGCTGGGCGGAGTAGGCCAACTCTGCTCTGTGTTTGCTCTTACCTTTCATTCCTTTCACTGAGCTTTGAGATGCCTTCACAATTCTTTGATTTTAGATGCCCATGAAATGGGGAAGATAATTAACCTGTCTGTGCTCATTTCTTCCTTGGGGCAGCAGAAGGTGGATCCTTTGTGGTCTCCCCAGACCTGGACCAGCAGATCACAAACTAAAATATC